CAAAGGGATACAGGCACTCCAATGTCTACAGCAGCATTATCTACAATAGCCAAATTATGGAAACAGTCCAAGTATCCATTGACTGATGAATGGACAAGGAAGATGTGTGTGTGTGCGTGTGTGCGTGTGTGCGTGTGTGCGTGTGTGTGTGTGTGCATGTGTGTGTGTGCGTGTGTGTGTGCGTGTGTGTGTGTGTGGAATATTACTCAGTTGTCAAAAAGAATGAAATCTTGCCATTTACGATGACACAGATGGAGTTAGAATGTATTATGCTAAGCAAAGTAAGTCAGTCAGAGAAAGACAAATACCACATGATTTCACTCATGTGGAATTTAAGAAACAAAACAAATGAGCAAAGGGGAATAAAAGAATGGGAAAGCAAGAAACAAACTCTTAACTACAGAGAACAAACTGATGCTCACCGGAGGGGAGGAAGATGGGGATTAAGGAGCACACTTCGTGTGACGAGCACGGGGTGATGTACAGAAGTGTCGAATCACTATACTGTACACCTGAAACCAATATTATACTATATGTTAACTAACTGGAATTTAAATTAAGAAAAAAGAAAAGGTCACTTCCAACCTCTCCAACCAAGCTGGATAAGGTATAAAATCATAGTTTTTAAAAATCCAGCAGAGAGGTGAGGATACAAAGAAACTTAAATAAATTCTAAACAAATTACAAGACCCTCATGGAAGAGAAGGACTCCATGGCTGCCTCGTGTGTGCCAGAGCAGCATATGGAACATGAACCCACTGCAGATGGAGGTATGGAGAAATAAGCCAAATCTTCAATGAGTTTTTAGTGGCTGAATGCACACTGGGGTGACAGATCAGAATTCCAAGGAACCCTAGGCATTTGACTGAGCCTGCATCCATACACCAAACTTTCTCACGGTCTTTGCCAAGTGCACAGGTTGTATATGTAAGGCAGGAGGTTTGATAGGAGAGCTAAGAGAAATCCCCGCTTAGACACAGAGCCCCTACCAAATGTAAGAAAGTCACTCTCCTAAGATGGGAAGCAGGGCAGAAGAGTGCAGGAAAACCCCTCCAAGGCATTCAGGCACTCCTTTAAGAGCTCAGGCATCTGAGCAGTTGGGCAAAGAAAGATCTCCCCTGGCTCAGAAGCTGAGGCATAAAACAAGACAACAAGCATTCCCCATGGGACTTTCTGGGATAATGGCAATGTTCTACATGTACCTTGTTTTGGGTGATGATTACATGAGTCTATAAAATGTCAAAACTCAACGCAATGAGCATGTAAGAACAATGTGTTTTAAAGTATATCTCAAATTTAACAATAATTTTTTTTAAAAAAAGAATCTAATGTGAAAAACAAAAAGGAACTAATCCATTTAATCACCTCCTTGGAAAAGCTTTGATGTTAGACTGTGAAATCTGTCTCTCCCTCTGAGAGCTGCTAAGTGGAAGCCAGAGATCCTAAGACTCATTGTGTCCATACAGTGTGGAGAAGCTGTGGCTGGTCTCAAAGTTTTAGAGGGACCTTTCAAAGAATTCTGTTTGCAGGTTGAAAGGCTATGCCTACCAATAAGTCTACAGGAAAACTGAAAAGGTGAGAGGCATTAAAAACCCAGTGAAGCCAACAATGAATGGAAATAATGGAAAACCTGCCTTTTTATCTTTTTTTAAAAAAGATTTATTTGAGAGAGCGAGAATGAGAGAGAGAGAGTACATGAGAGGGGGGAGGGCTAGAGGGAGAAGCAGGCTCCCCACTGAGCAGGGAGCCGGATGTGGGACTCGATCCAGGGACTCCAGGATCATGACCTGAGCCTAAGGCAGTCACTTAACCAACTGAGCCACCCAGGTGCCCCCTGCCTTTTTATCTTGAGGGATGCTTATTCTAGAGTTCCAGGCAATTGCCCAGTTTTCCTGAAAACACACTACTACTACGAAGAAGAAAAGTTGTCCTCATTCTAATGAAGCTGAAGAGTTAAGCCTTCCCTCCTCTGACAGGGTGTTCTCAGAGCCTTGTGAGAGGGAGCCCTGCTGGTGCCCCAGGGCTGCATGTCACCTTTCCAGCACTTTCTTTCATAATCTAATTACAGCAGAATAAAAGAAATTAAATCCTTGCTGATTGTATGTCCCAGGAAAAGACTGAGGGTAGCAGAGCTAGCATGGCCAAACAGGGAGAGGGCCCAGTTGCCCGTCAGAGCTGTGGCATCCAACTTATTTTCTCCACCAACCTGAGTTATGGTGGCAACATGGCCTAATGGAATGATAAAAATACCTAAACAGAATAATAACAGTAGCTAACCTGACTGAGAAGTAAGTATGTGCCAATCACTACGCTAAGTCCCATCTATTTACTCATTTGACTTTTATAAAGTCAGGGAGATAAAGTACTATTATCATCACCATTTTACAAATGGGAAACTGAGCAGCTACCAAAACCCATTAAGTAGTGGATCCCTAAATTTGAAACTGGGCATGAGAACTCAATATCTGTAAGTCCTTCTATATGAAACACTATTCTGCTTCCCCAAATAATAGAAAGAGGCAGACTTTGGAGTTAGAAAGCCCTGAGTTCAAATCCTGATATTACAGATACTGACGATATGGCCTTTGGAAGGACAGTTAACCTTTCTAAGCTTTGGCTTCATTCATATGATACAGGTAACATAACAAAATAGATGGACATAGGGGAAGAGAAGGAAAAATAAAATAAGACAAAAACAGAGAAGGAGACAAACCATAAGAGACTCTTAACTATAGGAAACAAACTGAGGGTTGCTGGAGGGGAGATGGAGGGGGACTGGGTAACTGGGTGGGCGTTAAGGAGGGCACTGGATGTAATTAGCACTGGTGTTATATGCAACCGAGGAATCACTAAATTCTACCCCTGAAACTAATAATATACTATATGTTAACAAAATTGAATTTAAAAAAATTTTTTTTAAATACAGGTAACATAAAACTCAAAAGCTATTCTTAGGATTATAGACAATTAATACGAAGAGCCTGGCCCTTAGTAAGTGCTCAACAAATGGTAGTTATTACTGGTGATAATAAATCATATTACCTCTTTAATACTCATTTCTGGATTTTGTATATTTTCAAATTTTGTGTGTGTGTGTATGTGTGTGTGTAAGCAAAGTATACCTAAAGGCATTGATATGGATAGAAAAGGAGAAATGAAGGATAGAATAAAAGTTGTCCTTCACCATTACATACATACATACACACACATACACGCATTTTTTCCTAATCCCTTCTCCAGAGGTGCTGAACATAGCAACTTAACATTTTAATTAAGGTGTGTGACTGATACACACATGAGGGGACTATTGCCCTGGAGTACAGAACATGCATAAGAACTGAAATTGTAAACATTTCCATCTGCAAACATTGAAGCATAATGGTGGACTAGAAATATCACAGGTCTTAGAACCAACCACTCAGACTTCTGTTCAAATCTTTGTTTTAATAATTTATGGCTATGTGACCTAGAGCAAGAAAGGTTATTTACCTTCTAAAGCTTTAGTTTCTCTCATCTGTAAAATGAACATAATTATACATTGGTTGTGTTAACGATCATAATATGTGTAAAACACCTCGTCTCTAGTAGATGCCCTATAAATGGCAGCTAGATTGTAATCATTATTATGCCTTTATGTCTTCTATCACAGTCATATTAGAAGTCAATCACAATTTCCATTTGTTTTCCATAAATCTTATAGTGGTATCTTATAATTATATATCAATTCCTAGAGTCACTCCAGCATTTGCCCAAAGACAGGGCTTAAAAATTCATTAATTTTAAAGCTTTCCTTGATTAGTTACAAAAGGAATTAAGTTAGAAATAATCTCTTTTTAAGTCAGTGGAAATGTTTTATTAATTCTTAATTGCAAATTAACTTACGGTTTTAATTAATTATATATATTTTAAATTTTTAATTAGACTTTAATTAAAATTATTTCAAGTCTAGAAGGAACTATTTTTCTCTGTATTTTAATCAAGTTCTTTTAGGCAATAGGCTGGCTGGCTCAAAGACTGAAAATTGATCTCTTTTCTGTATATGGCTTTTAAAACATTCTCTCTCTCTCTCTCTCTCACACACACACACACACACACACACACACACACACACACAAATAAAGAGGCAAGGTTTAGAGAAAATCAGAGAGAACTTTAACAGTAAGGAAAGTCAAGAGAGCCACAGAACATGAAAACAAGAGAGAAATAGGGTCAAGTGAGAGTTGTTCAGGAAAGATACAAAACATCATCTTTGAAAGGGTGTTGTGGGCACTCATTACATAACACTTCTGCAGAAGTGTTCTGGTCTCCTGAGAGATGGGCGCTCTATCAATACAAGGTATTATGGCTTCTGTCTTTATAACTGAGAGATTGATATTCTTTGGTAAGATTCCATATCCAGTGTAGAAGGAACACAATTAGAAGCCTGAAATAGCACTTTCCCCTTTTTCTCCAACACAAAAGTCTCCTTCTAGTGTGTGACCTTCCATGCAAAACAGCACATTTTTAAAGCTTAGTTCCAGTCTCTTAAAGATCCTTGGTTACAAGCCATGGGAAAGGATATCATGTGACAGAATCCCAGTCCTAAGTGACAGGGGAAATGTCCTACTACAATCACCCTTAGTGAGGAGAACACAACACCATTTGGTAGTCAGAAGAATTCTTAATCGTACTAGAAACAGAGAGAGGATACCATGCTCTCATTTTTCGACTGCCCTCACTTTCCCTTGTGAAAATATTTCAAGGTGACAATGAATGGATACAGTAGTTAAAAATCCTAAGAAGGTTTAAAAAGCATGTTGTAGGAGTAAATATTCACTTGAGTTAAAAAAGAAAAAAAAGCTGACTAGAGCAAGGGAAGTGTTTCTTTCTGTTCCTCCACAATCACTGATTATTAAAGTTGTGTTCACGCGCAGATTGCTGAAGGGTAGGAGACATCATGTTATGAATATTATAATTAGAGTATATAATACGCAAGTGGTTTGAAATATTAAGTCACTTACCATGTCAGTAGAAGAAATAGTTGGCAAATCCTCTGGGGCCAATGTAGTGTCATTAGATATTGAGCTATTAACTGTAAGAAAAAGACAATCTTTTACCATAAAAATAAAATAAAAATGACCTAAATGCATAACTCAAAATCGAAAAAAGCTAAGCTAGACATTAAAATGTCTTCAACAATAATATAAAGCACAATGAATTTTTCTTTATTGTAACTGTATTCACCTTTCACCTAGATAAAAATTACCAAAGACTCAGACATATCTCTTGTACTCTAATCTTGATAAGAAACAATGGCAAACATTTAAGAAAATGGTATTACAATTTGTTTCAGGTTTCAAAAAAAGAAAAAGAAAGAGAAAAAAACTTCACCATTACTAAAAGGCACTCAATATATTCTGCCTAGTGAAAGAAATGGATATGTTAGTAAGTTGATCACTGGCTTCACGTATGGTCAAATCTTGCCAAGTGCAATTTCACTAACTAATTTAGGATTTTTGGAAATTTGGACTGCATATGAGAAAGTGTATCTTTGCAAAATGTGGAAAAACAAAAAATCTTTCAAATACATAATAAATTATATAAATATAATGGGAATAAATATTTATCTAATTTTAAAAAATTATTTTCATATAATTCAGCATGATTTGTAGAGTTATTAAGAGGTTACTTTTGGAGAAACCTAATTTATTTATTAAATCAACTCTCCTCTTGGAAATATTTCATTTTTTTTAAATTTATCAGTCTAAAATTAAGACAGTATTTAAAGAGAGTTCTATAATTAAAACATTTTTTATCAGATAAAGCTTTTTCCTACTATATGAAGTTTTATGTGTTATAAAATAGTTACTCAGAGAATATCCCTAATTTGTGGAGATACTGTAAAATGACAAGTTTTTGTCTTCGAGTGTCACATTTAACATCCAAATTGCTAATTGTCATTTGGTCCCCTTCTCCCTGCCCTCTCCTGCCCCCAAGCCACTAGACTATCCTTTTAGATTATGTTTTAGGTCCTACCTACATAAGCTCTTAAGGAGAAACAAACAGGTTTATTTGACTGTTGAAATTTAGAATATAAGATCCATGAGGGAAGAACAGAAAGGGCAAGTCTTGTTCATGCTTTTCCCCAGAATCTGCCCAGTCTGGCACTTAACTAACAAGAACTCAAAAATATTTGTTTTATTATTCAACCTCAAAAAAAGGAAAATTCTACCATTTGCAAAAATATGGAAGAGGGCATTATGTTAAGTGAAATAAGCCAGACAAAGACAAATACTGTATGATGTCACTTATAGGAAGAATCTAAAAAAAAATTAAAATAAAAAATAAGTATAACTCATAGAAATAGAGAGTAGAATGGTGGTTCCCAGGGGTTGGGGAGGGGGGTTGGGGGAAATAGGAAGAAGTTAGTAAAAGGGTACAAACTTTCAGTTATAAGAGGAATAAGGTCTGAGAATCTAATGTATAACATGGTAACTATAGCTGTTAATATTGTACTGCATAATTGAAATATGCTGAAAGTAGGCCTTAAGTGTTCATAAAATAAAATAAAATAGAATAAAATGTGAGGTGATGGATATATTAATTAACTTGGTGGGAATCCTTTCATAATGTATACATATATGAAATCATCATTTTCACTTTAAATATAATTTTATCAATTTTACTTCAATAAAGCTGAAAAAATACTCGTTTACTGTCAATAAATGAGGCTAGAATAGGGACCAACCATTTAATGACTTCAAATGAATGACAGCAGATAAAGGCAAAAGAAATGAAATAAGGAAAACAAAGGGGAGAAAATATTTAGCTTGAGCCCTAGTTTTTCTCAATTTTGGAGTCCATTCTGATCTTTGAAGGTTCTGGAATTGTTAAACTTTTAATCTAAAGCTAGCTGCTGCTAGGGCATCCCTATTTCCTCAATAAAACAGGCACATGTGCAAACTATTTGCTTACTCTGTTTCACTGCAGGTCACGGAAAGAATCAAAATAGGCTAAAGGATGCTTGGCCCAAACAAGAAAGCCAAACACGAACCCATTCCCAAAAGGAAGAAGATGTTAGTACATTTTTATTAACAAAACCTAGATTTTTATTACGATTTTGTTTAAAAAAGCCTAAAGTACATTTTCTTACATTATTCCATTTGCTCATTTAAAAACACCCGAGAACATGTAACAGGTATATTTTTATACCCACTTTATGTTGAATAGGACTCTGAAGCAAGATATGCCAGGTTTCTTGCCCAGGATTGTAGAATCAACCAGAAGAAGAATAGGTACCAAAATCTTGTTTGGCATTCTTTCTTTTCCTACTCAGCATCTGATTTTTGTGGCCACAGAATTCAAGGTGGGATAATACTCTCCAGTGTTAGATGATGTGAATCTCAACTGTGAGGTGAAATGTCTGACTTGTCTGAGCTTTCGAAAGAAAATAGCATATATGAAATCACAGACACTATTTAGATGGTGTCTGGGAAGCTGCTCTTCCTGAGCAAAATTCTTTTATGCAATTTTATGAGCTTCCTATCACAAGAGAGTGAAGGTCTTTTTGCAACATACTTTTCCGCATAAAAACAAGGAGTAGGAGTGAGGGAGAAAGATATCCAACCCTCCTTTTTTTGTGAAATGAATGACAGATAATAAAGACCACAAGTGAACTAAAATAGGATTCCAATCCAAACTTTCAGTAACTACTTTTAAGTTCTAGATACACATCAATTCTGCTCATCTAAATTCCTTTTATCTTTTCAGTTTTCCTCTAAGACAAGCTATTAAAGCATACGGGCTCTAAAAATCCCAAAAGACTAGTATCAAAAGGACCATAAAAAGTATATGCCTTTCCTACTTATTTTAGTATGTAGCTGCTTCAAGAGAACTTCAAAATAAATATATAAACAAGCACTTCCATAAATGCATATTAGCAGAATATGGTAGAGTCCATAAGTAAGATTAAAAGTAAATTTCTTTAAGTTCACCTAAGAGAAAATCATCAATTCCAATTGGGAGTTTTGTCTATGAGAGCCACTGGTCACCATTTGGATCCAGATACATACAATGCAAGTATTCTGGCAACCAAGTGCAGAATGATCTATGTATATACAATTTGTAATATCCTTAATTAGGGTTCTGAAAAGGTCAAATAGAAAAGCATAAACACACTGCACTCTGTCTTCACTATTTGCTCAGCACCATGGCTTATGAAGCAAAGAAAGTCTTTGCCCTAGGAATCTGGCTAATTTAGAACTAGCCAATTGTCACTGGGACAGTCTATGTCCCATACTTGGTTTCAGGGAGTTTTCACAGGTTGCTCGTTTTATGTTCCTCAGATTTTCACCTCTTTTTTTTTTTTTTGAACTTTTTGGGGTTTTTTTTGTTTTGTTTTTATTTGACTATGTTATGTTAATCACCATACATTACATCATTAGTTTTTGATGTCGTGTTCCATGATTCATTGTTTGCGTATAACACCCAGTGCTCCATGCAGAACGTGCCCTCCTTAATACCCATCACCAGGCTAACCCATCCCCTCCATTCTCCCCCCCACAGAACCCTCAGTTTGTTTCTCAGAGTCCATAGTCCCCCATGGTTCGTCTCCCCCACCGATTTCCCCCCCTTCATTTCTCCCTTCCTACTATCTTTTTTTTTTTTAACATATATTGTATTATTTGTTTCAGAGGTACAGGTCTGTGATTCAACAGTCTTGCACAATTCACAGCACTCACCATAGCACATACCCTCCCCAATGTCCATCACCCAGCCACCCCATCCCTCCCACCCCCCACTCTCTTGATCCTCCTTCCTGTGTATCAAATTCTGGCTGATCCTCTGGAATAGGGAATGAACATTGTCAGTAACAGACATTTAAAAATGTGCCTGGGAGTGTTCCTATCTTAAGCTGGCTTTTTTCCCCCTCTATGCTTGATGAGAGATCTACAGAAAGAACAGGCTATGAGCAGAAAAAAAAGGTGACATCCATATGTCAATGTTAGTATACCTCCTGCACAGGGACTATCCATTGCTCCTTTAAGGTTGTCCTTCCTTATCCTCTAGTACCTGGCACCAGGAACTATCCCATGATTCCTCTGCTTTACACATTAGCAGAAACTATAACATCAAGAATATATACAAAAGCTATAAGGTCAACTAGGAGCAACAAATGGCCATTGAGGCAGATCTGTCTGCTTTGATGTACCACCACATCACAAGTTAGAGAAAGGAGTGCTAAGAAAACTGGGCTGGAACTCTGGCTCCACCACCTTCTGGAGCATAGGGTCACCTCACTGCTATTGGCCACAGGTCCTTCACTTGTGAAATTGGATTTGAAACAATAAGGTTACTGTGCGGGATTATGTAAGACGGTGTAGGCAAAATTGTTAGCAGAGTATCCAGTAGCAAGTGGAACTGAAAGAGATGCTAGCTAAGGTTACTACTAGCTTTATGACCTGGAGAAAGTAAACTTCACCCCTGGGAAAAAGTCGGCTACCTCACAAGCTTTATGTGATGATTAAATACATACATATTATAATATTACAATATACTGAAATACAGTTTATAGAAATCCCTTAGTAAGGGGCGTCTGGGTGGCTCAGTTATTAAGCGTCTGCCTTCGGCTCAGGTCATGATCCCGGGGTCCTGGGATCGAGCCCTGCATCCGGCTCCCTGCTCAGCGGGAAGCCTGCTTCTCTCTCTCCCGCTCCCCCACCCCCCCGCTTGTGTTCCCTCTCTCGCTGTCTCTCTCTCTGTGTCAAATAAATAAATAAAATCTTTAAAAAAAAAAATCCCTTAGTAAAATGTCTGGCACTTTGAATGGTGCTTAATAAATCTTAGCCAAATCTGAACCTGTACCCTCAACATAGCTTCTTGGGATTATAATAATGCAGAATTGGTTTACCTGCTCTGAATGAGAAAAAAATTTAAGAGCATTCTCCATGATAATGAAACTTTAATGTTTTATTCCATTCTACTTAAGCAAATTTGAGGAAACTGAGTAACTGGAAAATAGATAAAGAATAAAACTGAAGAAGCTTCTTGCCTGCAGGGTCACATCAGACTTATTTAAGGGTCCTGGATAAT